GTGGCTCTGTTTTTTGTTTTTTGTTTCTTGTTTCACGAAGAAGAAGAGGGATTGGTTGGTTGTTGATTGGCTATGTTAGAGTTTAATTGATTGGTTGTCGAGAAAATTAATTGAGAATTAAAATCGGGTATGATTTTATTAAATAATAATAAAATAAGAAGAGGGGAAAATTGAGAAAATTGTGGGTTTTGACAAAAGAGGGGTTGTTAGATTTAGATGGGTATGGTTAGATTTGAAATGAAGAAAAAAGGTTTTAATAGCAATCGATTCCTTTTCCTCAGCTTGATTCTTGAGCCATTTTGCTGATTTTTTTGTGTGTAAACTATATGTATGATGATCGTGTTTAGGTGATCTCAAACGTATTGACATGAGTCATGTGCGAATGCCGAGTGTGAGCAAGGGGGCACTTGCCCACCATAAAAAAAAATTAGGCTAATTTTCTTAGAGTTTTTAAATATACTCATGTTGATACATTGTTTTATGCCCTCCAGTAGGTGTTTTTATGATATTTGAACGCTTTTATATAAAAAAATATTTAGTAGTTTTTAAATCTGCCTCTGATGAAAATAATTTCTAGATTCACCATTGGACATGACTGTGGATAGCTTCATCATCCACCAAAACGACTATTTTTCTCTACTTGGTGAATTGCAACACAATGGAGAACCTATTTTTTTTTTACCTTCATCATCGACTTCACACATTCTTTATGACGATGAGTTGTAGATATTAAGATTGGTTCAATTTTAACGTTCATAATGAATGAATCTCAGAGTAAACTAGCATCGCTTTATTAAACATTATTTTTTATAATTTGTTTTTCTTAACATTCGTCCCTTAAAAAAAAAACTAGCCTAGCAAATAGTCTTTTAAAAATTCAATGGCTAGAAAACTAATTATACATATTTAGATATTTTTTCGAGTAATTATGAGTAATTCCGGATAAAAAAGTCTAGGAACTTTAAATCTTAAAAAATTTCGGTTATTAGCACGTTTCGAGTCTGTACTCATATTTGACTCGAATCTATAAGGAACTGAACGGTACCCGACCAAAAATCCGAAAACCTGAAAAGACTGAAAGACTCGAAAATCTGAACTGAATGCCGAGGTCCACTAACTTGAATGGACTAATTCAGAAACGAGCCGGCTAAGGCTTTGGCTTTAACGCTGGCTAAATTGATATGTCTAGAG